GACTAGGAATCACACCAAGCATCCTTACTAAGACGCATAGTAGAAATCAACGGCCTCCAATACAAAAGGGTGTGTGATGTTGTCGGAAATTGCATGAGGCGTTCGCTGAAACTCCTTTTTGGGACCACGAAGCGTGTGAGGGGGGCACCGAAATCTGCCAAATGCCCTCGGTGGAGCCCCTTTTTGTAGTACCACGGAATGTGTGACGTTGTGTTGAAAATTGCACGAGGCGTTCGCTGAAACCTCGTTTGGGACCACGCAACGTGACAGGGGTGCGCCGAAATCGGTTCGAACCCCCCGGCGGAACCCCTTCCTTGTGGTGGCGCGAAACGTACGAAGGTAGACAAGACCTGGTTCTGAGGCCTTCGGTGGAGCCACTGTGGGGCCGCGAAACGTGTCAGGGGTGCGCCGAAACCGGCCCGAAAACATCGGTGAATCCCCGTTTGCGGGGCCACGAAAACAACGCGGGCTGTGCGGAAATTGGCCCGAAGCCTTCGGTAAAGCCCCCTGTGGGGCCACGAAGCATATGAGGGGTACGCCGAAGTCGTTGCTCTGGTGTTCTGTTGCTGGGGGGGGGCTCTGGTCAGGTTGTCTGTTGCGTTTGTTGTTATGTCGTCCGTTGCTCTGTTGCGGGGGGGGGGGGGTTGTGGCTCTGTTGCTCTGTTGCTGGGTGGGACGCTTTGTTGCGCTGTTGCGCTGTTGCCGTTGTGTATTGCTGGGGAGGGGGGGATCAGCCACTGGGCACCATTCACTGTTTTCGTCAACAACAACAACAACGACAACAACAACGACAACGACAACGACAACGACAACAACAAACACCAACAACAGCAACAACAACGGCAACATCAACAGCCCCGCCAATCAATGTAAGACTGTTCGCTCTTCTATACTCCCGTGTCATTCAATATGCATATCCCAAACCCTGGATACCTGCCCTCTTCGTCTTCGATCGCACCCCCCTTTGGGGGGGCATATTTATTCCTTGCCACGCGTGGCTGGCGAAGCCATTGAAAACGAAGGGTAACAGATAACGGTGGCGGGATCGGAGGAAGGGAGAGGAGGGGGCAAGAAGGAGGGAGGACGCTGATTTGCGCTGTGTGGCGATTCAGCTTGCGCCATGGCTTGCGCCATGGCTTGCGCCAGCCACTCCAACACAGGTTGACAATAAGTTTCGCCATGGGTCGCGCCATAAACAGCGCCACGTACCACCCCTTTGAAAGAACATTTCGTGGATACCCCCACGGGGGGCGTACAGCTGCGAACTGGTGTGAGTAACAAATTTCGTGGAAACTTGAAAAGAAGCGGGGTGTTGGGAGAGCGGGGCGGAAAGATAATGAGAACTGCAACCGTGTCGACAGGATGGACTGGGATGGAGTGGGCAAGAGTAGGATCTCAGGCGGGAGCCGTTGTTGGCGCGGGCCACGACGGGCGCGAACGAGCGGGGGGCCCGAAGGGCATACATATAACGCCGCAGAGGGCAGCGACGGAGCCGCTGAGGGCAGAAACGGGCCACGAAGGGCAGAGAGGGGGCCACGAAGGGCGACACCGGGGCCACGAAAGGCATGCGTATGGGGCCACGGCGGGCGCGAACGAGCGGGCGCCACGAAGGGCATACATATATGGGGTCAGAAAGGGCGACAGCGGGGCCACTGAACGCAGAAAGTGGGCCACGAAGGGCAGCGAGGGTGCCACGAATGGCGACAGCGGGGCGACGAAACGCATACGTGTGGGACCACGAAGGGCGCGAGCGAACGGGGGCCACGAAGGGCAATTAATCCGGGGCCACAGAGAGCAGCGACGGGGCCGATGAGGGCAGAAACGGGCCCACGAAGGGCAGATAGGGGGCCACGAAGGGCGACAACGGGGCCACGAAGGACATGCATATGGGGCCACGACGGGCGCGAACGAGCGGGGGCCACGAAGGGCATTCGTATATGGGGCCACAAAGGGCGACAGCGGGGCCACTGAGGGCAGCAAAGGGGTCACGAAGGGCAGCGAGAGGGCCACGAAGGGCGACAGCGGGGCTACGAAAGGCATGCGTATGGGGCCACGGCGGGCGCGAACGAGCGGAGCCACGAAGGGCATATAATGCGGGGCCACAGTGGGCAGCGACGGGGCCACTGAGGGCAGCAACGGGGCCACGAAGGGCAGCGAGCGAAGGCGACCGTGGAACCAGTACGGGCAGCGAGGGGCATCGAAAGCGGGCGAAGGGCAGCGAGCGGCGACTGCAGTCCCTAACGGGCTGGTCGGGCGGGCAGGCCCAGACTGGCGGGTCGAGCGGGCGGGTCGTTGACGCGTAAATTCTGCTTGATCCGCCAGACAATATGTAGCGGGAGCGCGATTCCTAAATATCGAAGAGCGGCATCTGAATGAATTGTGAGGAAGTATCAGGCGGGAGCCGCGATTCGATGATAAGTTGCGAGGAAGTCCCAAGCGAGAGCGCGATTCTTCAATACATTGTGAGGAAGTACCAAGCGGGAGCCGCGATCCGGTGGTAAATTGGAAGGAAGTCAGAAGCGAGATTGCGATTATTCAAAAAACTGTGAAGACGTATCAGGCTGGAACCGTTGTTGTTGTTGTTGTTGTTGTTGTCGTTGTCGTTGTCGTTGTCGTTGTTGTTGTTGTTGTTGTAAACCAGGGGCCAACAACACAGTTTGACCATCAAGACTTTCCCTGATAAAAACAGCAGGGTGCGAGCCCCGGGAAGGGCACTTCAATGAAAAAACAGAGTGCACTGGACGGGGGGGATCAACAGTAATTACTCTTCAGAAATGAGAACTCAACAACGCAACAAGCAGAATCCTCATCACGAATTCTCACTCCAGCCACGCACCCAAGGACAATGAATGACCGTTCGGCCCCCTCACTCTGACCAAGCTGCTTGGATAGTATTATTTCCCGTCAGCAACTTCCCGTCCGCAGCTTCCCGTCCTCGCCGCTTTCGAGGCTTGCCGGGTGCTCCAGAGGAGCGCTAAGACACGGCCAAGTGCCAGGGTGCCAGGATAACGCTTCTGGGTGCTGAATGCGTTATCGTTGCACCGGAGGGGGTGGATTCTTAATTGCCGGATGAGGTTATGCACCGCATCGCGCTGCAACGGGGCCTGACGAGAGTCCAGACACGGTACGGTGCGTAGGCGCCGTCTCGTAGGAGGGAATGGGCGTGGAGCAGCAGTGGGGGGGTGAGCGGGGGAGGAAGGAGGAGGACGGAGGAAGGAAAGGGGGGATAGGGAAGAGGGAGAGGGAGGAGGCAGGAGGGGGAGGAGGCAGAGGGAGGAGAGTGGAGGAGGAAGGAGGAAGGAAAGGGGGGACAACGGGCAGGGAGGATGGGAACGCATCGGGGGGGAAGAGAGGGAGGATGGACATCGGGGGGAGAACAGGGAGGATGGAGAGGGAAGATGGGGGAGCAGGGGGAGATGGGTGGTCGTGGTGAGCAATGGCTTGCCAATCCATGCGCGCCCACAAGCATGGGGATATGGGACATGAGAAGGAGGAGGGAGGTAGGGCGGGGGAAGAATGGGGATGCGAATGCGCAAGATATTCAGGAGGAAGTGCGAACAGCCTGAGGCGCAACCGAGTCGAGACGGGAGCACAAAGGTAAAAAGGGAGGCATCCTCTTTCCATGTCATGTCAAGCAGAGAGACAGAGAGAGAGAGAGAGAAACAAGAGAGAGAGAGGCTGCAGCGCGCTGTGATGCTCAAGCACACACACACTATGGTCGCAGTGGGAGGGCGGCCATGACATGATGTGTTCGTTGACCACGGGTCGGCTTTGCATAGGCGGCGTTCCGTGACCCAGGACAGGCCGCCCCCCCCCCAACGAAGATAAAAAGGATCCCTCCAAGACCTTGCCTGTATTGGGGTTGAGCCCTCTCGCAACATATGTCACGTTCTAGGCTTGCAAGGGACAGGCCGAGATGTGCTCGGCACTGCGCCCACGACACTGGCCGTCCAGACCACGGCGATAGCCGTGGGGGCAAAATATACAGGACGCGGAGAACACAGGGCGCAGAACGCCATACGTCGTCCCGCCAGTTGGACCTCCCGGCCCACCCCGGCAGATTGGACACATGCCAGGCCGACGGGCGGGGCGGGGCTCCCGGTGCGCTCGGGGCGCGGTCCTGCTTGAAGTCCTTCGCGCCCTTGGGCCTTGAGGCCCGTCTTGGGCGCAGCGGGAGCACTTCGGCCGCGCGGGGGCGAGAGGGGGGAGGGGGAGGAGAAGGGTGGCCTGCCGGTGGGTCGCGAGAACGAAGCATCCGCACAGCTTCGCCAGGGCAGAAGCCGGGGGGGCGGCTGCCTGGCACGGGGGTCCCTTGAGCCAGCCTGGAGCCGAGACGAGCGAGAGGGAGAAGGAGAGAGGGAGAACACGAAGAGGGAGAGAGAGAGAGAGAGAGAGAGTGAGAGGGAGAGATGGAGAGGGCGAGAGAGAGAGAGGGAGGGAGAGGGAGAGCAGACAGCAGAGAGAGAGGGAGAGAGATACAGGAAGGGAGGCGTACGAAGAGGGGAAGGCAAGGGAGGGCCCGGGGCGCAGGAGCCGCCGAGGCGAGGAGGCACGGGAGCTGGAGCAGAGGGACGGAACGAGAGAAGGGCGCGACGGAGGGGCAGGGAGGAGTGGGAGGAGGAGGAGGAGGAGGAGGAGGAGGAGGAGGACCACGAGGAGGAGGAGGACGAGGAGGATAATGGGAGGAGGCGCGGACTGCCCCACAGTGCAGGCCGCCGCGCCCGCCCGCGCGCGCGCCCCCCGCGCCGCTCAGCCCCGCAGCGGGGCGCCCCACATCGCTTCGGCGGCCGACCCGGTCCGGGGACAGGGGAAACCAACAGGCACCGATACCGCTGCCCCCCCAGACCTCTCCCAGGGTGGGCTGTGCCCAAGAGTTTCGAGGCGAAGCCAGCGGCGACGACGAGGGCCTCCGAGGAGGCCCACAAAGGGGAAAAGCGAGGAAAGGGCATAGAGGTATGGGCACCTACCTCTTCCCCCTCTGCAAGGGACAGGCAAGCCGCTCAGGCCCTCCCGCGCTTGGCCGCCGCGGGCCCGCCAGCCGCGCCGGGCGCCTTCCGCTTGTTCGCGCCCGCCTTCGCGGCCCCCTTGCGCGGGGAGCAGGAGGAGGGTGAGGACTCTGGGGAAGTGAGGGGCGCAGAGGCGGGACGAGGGAGGCGGAGGGAACAGGAGGGAGGATCAGAAGGGAGAAGGGAGGAGGAAGAGGAGGAGGAGGAGGAGGAGAACCAATGTAAACCCAAGGGTCATCAACGATGTTGGCATAAACCCTCCCTCCAAGCTCCCTCTTGACGACCCTGAAGCATGCCCAAACATTGTTCTCGGGATTCCAACGCCACGGATCGACTCGACTGTTGCGTCCTGTCGAACCTGAACCGTGCCAGAACAAAATTTCTGGTTCGCTGATCATGGTCATCCGTGAAATTCTTGCATTCGTTAAAACGAATTTGCGCGACGCTAAGGCGAGAGCCACATTTCAAAACCACCCTCCCTCAATCCATGAAGCTCTTGCAAACCTTTACAAGCGGATGTGCGCGGCACTGCGGTGGGAGCCACATGTTGAAAACGGCCCAACGACCCGCCCTTAATATGTGAAACTGTTGTCAATTTGGAAGTTTCAGGGTCATTAGTGGTGGGGAAGTCTCAGGCGACACGCCCGGCCCGCTCTAAAAAAGTGGCCTCGGGGTGCGAAGGGGGAAATGATTCAGAAGAAAAATGGACGGGGGAGGAGGAGGAGGAGGGGGGGGAGGAGGACCAGTGCAAACCCAAGACTCACCAACGATGTTGGTATAAACCCTCCCTCTAGCTCCCTCCACCTGGGCCCCTACAAAGGTCCATTACCACAGGGGGAACAACCTCGTTGGAAAACAACCGTTTGAAGACGCTGAAGCATGCCAACATATCCTTCTCGGGATTCTAACACCACGGATCAACCTGATCGTTGCGTCTTGACGATCCGGAATCGTGCCCGAACGCCATTCCTGGGACTTCGACGCCGCGAACCAAAGTAATTGTTGCACCCTACTAATCCGGAGTCCTTCCAGAGCACCATTTCTGATACGCTGATCATGGGAACCCGTGTAGCTCTTGCAAGCGTTTAAAACGAATGTGCGCGGCGCTGAAACGAGAACCACATGTTGAAAACCACCCACCTCAATCCGTGAAAATCTAATCACTTGTCAAAAGGACTGTGCGCGGCGCTAATGCGAGAGGCGCATTTTGCACAAAAACCGATTTCAAGCGGTGCGACTCTTGATCTTGACAACTTTCAAAACAAATGCGCGCGGCAATGGGGCGAGACCCACATTTTGGAAACGGGTCGCCCTCAATCCGTGAAACTCTTGTATTTTCTAACGAATGCATGCGGCACTAAAGCGAGAACCACATTTTGAAAACCACCCGCCCCCAATCAATTCGTGAAACACTTGAATTTCTTTAAACGAATGTGCGCGGCGCACAGGCGAGAGCCACATTTTGAAAACGACCCGCCCCTCCATTTATGAAGCTGTCGCTAATGTTTAGCTTCAGGGTCGTAAGAGATGAAGAAGTCTCAAGCGAAACGCCCGGCCCGATCTAAAAAGTGGCCCCAGGGTGTGACAGGGAGAAATTATTGATAAGGAAAAGGAATTAATGAGGGGAAAAAAGAGGAGGAGGAGGGAGGGAGGGAGGGAGGGAGGGAGGGAGGGAGGAGGAGGAGGAGGAGGAGGAGAACGACCAGTGTTTACCCAAGACTAATGAACGATGTTTGGATGAACCTCCCTCCAAACTCCCTCTTCACACGTTGGCCCGCATAACGATTCATTTCCACTGAAGAAAGTGCCCCGCTGGGAGACAACCGTTTGAAGATCCTGAAACGTGCCAAAACACCATTCTCGGGACTCCAACGCCACGAATCAATATGACTGTTGCGTTCTGGCGAATCTGAACAGTGCCAGAACGCCGTTCCTGGGACTTCACCACCGCGAATGAATGTAACTGTTGCGCCCTGGCAATTCTGAATTCTTCCAAGGCGCCATTTCTGGAACGTTAACCATGGGAACCCGCTAAACTCTCATACGTTGTTGAAGAAAGCGCGCGGCGCTAAAGCGAGAACCACATGTTGAAAAGGAACCGCCCTCAATCCGTGAAACTCTTGCAATGTTTGACGACGAATCTGTTCGGCGCTTAGGCCAGAACCACATTTTGAAAACCACCCGCCCTGCATCTGTGAAGCTGTTGCCAGGCTTTGAGCTTGAGGATCATAACTGTTAACAGAAATCTCAGGCGAAACTCCCAGCCCGCCCTTCCGACTGACCTCGGGGTGCGACAGGGAAGAATTACGTAGCACCCCGCAGCTGCGGAGAAGAGTGATGGGGCGGCGGCGACGTCGGCAGTCTGCGAGACTCTGACGAAGCCCGCCGCAGGCACCGAATTTCACAAATTGTACAACGGGCTCTCCGCAGGAGGTGGTTTTTCGCTTGAACAGTGTGAATGGGTCGCTGGGTGGGTCGCGGGTGGGTCACGGGTGGATCGCCGGTGGGTCGCGGGTGGGTCGCGGGCAGGGGGGTCGCAGGTGGGTCGCGGGTGGGTCGCGGGGTGGGTCGCGGGTGGGTCGCGGGCGAATCGCGGGGTGGGTCGCGGGTGGATGGCGGTGGGTCGCGGGCCAGGCGCGGGTGGGTCGCGGGTGGGTCGCGGGCGCGGGGGAATCGCGGGGTGGGCGCGGGTGGATGGCAGGTGGGTCGCGTGTCGGTCGCGGGGTGGGTCGCGGGAGGGTCGCGGCGAATCGCGGGTGGGTCGCGGGTGGATGGCGGGTGGGTCGCGGGCCAGGCGCGGGTGGGTCGCGGGTGGGTCGCGGGTGGGTCGCGGGAGGGTCGCGGGCGGGTCGCGGGGTGGGTCGCGGGTGGGTCGCGGGTGGGTCGCGGGTCGGGTCGCGGGCTGGGTCGCGTGTCGGTCGCGGGGTGGGTCGCGGGAGGGTCGCGAGCGGGTCGCGGCTTGGGTCGCGGGTGGGTCGAGGGTGGGTCGCGGGCCGGATCGCGGTTGGTCGCGGGTGGGTCAAGGGCCGGGTCGCAGCGGGGACGACGACAACAAACAATAACAAACAACGAACAACAACCATTAAACAACATCATCATCATCATCATCATCATCATCATCATCAAACACAGCAAAAACCAACAACAATAACAACAACAACAGCAACAACAACAACACCAACAACAACAACATCAACAACAACAACAAGTAGCAGCAGCAGCAGCAGCAGCAACATCAGCAACAACAACAACAACAATCATTTAAGACTGGGGACACTCCGTTCTCACCAGTGCCAGGGTTTTCATAGGAGGCGGGCAATACCCCCACTTTGTGGGGGGGCCGGTTCAAGCTCTACCAAGTTTAGGACGACTCTTCGCCACCACCCACACCCAGCTTCCCGCCCTATGACGTTCGGACACTTCACTTCGTGGCCTGCGGACGACCTTGGCTACTACACTGGCGCATGGGTACAATGACTTGTTGTGGTAACATTTTGCGGAAGCTAGCTTAGTATACGACTTATCCCCCTGTTCCAACACTGGACACCTGTACCGTTTTCCGACGTTTTTCCGTTTCTGTACCACACAAGCAAAGATTATTTTGAGTGGTACCACGTGCGTGGCGCCAGCATACCACAGGACTTGTTTCCTACGAAACCCAATGGTTTTTGAAGACTTCGGCGTGCGCGCGCAAAGAAAAAACGAATGTGTCCCGCATGGTATTATTTGACAGGGATGATGACCCTGGCAGGTGCGCAACGGTTGTTGGAGAAGTTCGAAGCACGTGAACAAGTTGCTCGGAAAAGCCCATTTGACAGAAATGTTTAAAAAGTGTTGGGTTTCCTGCAAATCCGCAAGAGCGCGCGGGATGAAATTGTGACACTTTTTTTTTAAAAAAAACCATTGGTTTTTTGATGTTTTTATGTTGAAATCGTTACGAACACTAAGGTTTTGGAAGGATTTCGTCTTGCGCGCGCGAATGTCCACTTTACCTTATTTTTTGCAAGGGATTCTTGAAGTTTGGTTATTTTAGAACAAGAAATTCATTTTATAGTGTTTTTTGCAAGGGAAAGCGGGGGGGAACAAAACAACCGGATCTGTACACATCGTTTTCTGAGGCTTCCTCACGAAAATGATGAAAATGTAGCTGCGGCCTAGGCGGCGCAGGGGGGGCGCGCACCAGGGGGCCCAACAATAATTATTCTTTAGAATAAATAATGTTCAACAATCCACACCGAAGAGCCTCACTTCAGCCACGCACCCAGGGACAGTGAATGACCGCTTGGTCCCCTCACTGTGATGTAGAAGGAAACAGAATGGAGGAGGCGAAGAAGTAGGAGGATTAGGAGGAGGAGGAGGAGGAGGAGTAGGAGGAAGGGAGGTCGTGCGTCGGAGGTTTTTTGCCGTTGCTTCAGGGCCCGTTTTCATGATTTGCGAACACGCCCGCCGGGACAGGCCCCGTAAGGCCCCCCCTCATCCTGGGTCACGCCACGCTTCGCGCCGGCGCCGTCTGGGAGTTGGCCACTCCTGAACATTCCCAAACGGCGCCCGCGCGAACTTCGAAGTGACCAGCCCCCTCGCCGCCTTCCCCACCCCCCCCGTCCTGGTCAAGCCCGTGATCGCCAGGGGAGAAAACAGGCGTCTAATGGGAGGGCGAGAAGCCAGGGGGGGCCAGCGAAGAGAAGTGCACCTTTCGTGCACCTTTGGGGCCCCAAATGACCCCTTTGGGGCCCCTGTCCCAGTTAATGATGGGCCCATTTTCCAATGATGGGCCCATTTTCCACCACGACTACCATATGTAGGAGTGGGAGAAGGAAGAGGAGGAGGAGGAGGAGGAGGAGGCGGAGGAGGAGGAGGAGGAGGAGGAGCAGGAGCAGGAGCAGGAGGAGGAGGAGGAGGAGGAGGAGGAGGAGGACGAGGAGGAGGAGCTCCTCATCCTCCCTTCTCCCCCGCCCTACATGTGGCAACGGTGCAAATTTGCCCATCAGTTCAGGGACCCCCACATGCACCACTGGGGAAGCGGATGTCCTGGGACCCAGGGAGGGCGAGGCGGCTGTCTAAAGACGGTGGAGCCCCCAGGGGGCCCCGAGCACACACCCGCACGTCCGCCCCCTGCCTCCCGGGGTCCCCGAAGACCGGGCCCCCCGGCGGTGGGCCCGAGCAGGTCCCCGCCCCGGACCTTCGCCGCCGCGCCCCTCTTCTTCGAGGGGTCGAACTTGTCGCCGTCCCGGATGACGACCTCGGGTGGCCCCCCCCCCCCCCACCGGGAGGGGCGCGGGGCCGCTGCGCGGCCGCGGCGCCCCCGCCGACGCTCCTCCCCCCCCCTCCCTCCGCTGAGCGACGCGAGCCTCGCCCGGCATTCGATTACTCCTACGCGGGGACGACATGGATAGACATGGCATCGGCCCGCACAAGACGAGCTGCGGCCGTGGGGCGAATCAGTCTCCACCCTTGCCAAGCAGGCGCGCTCCACGTTTCGCAACGCAACGAACTACTCGCAAATGGCCTGGGTCCTCCGCGGGGGATCGACGATCCGCTACATCGAGGCAAACGTGTGTTTTTGCTTCCGCGGGGGATCTACGATCCGCTACGTCGAGGAAAACCTGTGCTCTTGTGTTCGGACGTTGCGAGTATAGGCACTCTGCGAGCAGTGGGCCGCGCCTGCTGACTGAAGCTCTCCCCGGCTGGAGTGTTTTTTAGCCCGGGTGTGCAGTGCACGGTTTCCCCCGGGGCCGTAGGCGACCCGAAGAGGAGGAGGAGGAGGGAGGAGGGATGGGGGAGGAGGAGGAGGAGGAGGAGGAGGAGGAGGAGGAGGAGGAGAAGAAGGAAAGAAGGAGGAGGAAGAGGGAGAGGAGGAGGAGGAGGAGGAGAAGGAGGAGGAGGAGGAGGGAGGACGGATCGCCGAAGCCCTTCGGAGAAACCCTCCAGCGTGCAGCGTCCTGGCCAGGGGGGGTCCTGCGACGCGGGCCCGCAGCCGCTCCAGGCTGCAGCCGGTCCCCAGATTTCTCCGCCTGCGAGCCCCTGGGGCCACACATTAGGCAGGGGCACGGTCGGCAGCTCTGGCCTGGCGCGTCGCCCCGCCGGCTCTAGCCCACGACGCTTCGGCGCGACACGCAGCTCACACGTCCCCCTCCTCCTCCCTCCTCCTCCTCCCTCCTCCTCCTCCCCTCCTCCCTCCTCTCCTCTCCTCCCCTCCTCTTCCTCCCCTCCCTCCTCCTCCTCCTCCTCCCCCTCCTTCCTCCTCCTCTCTCCTCTGCTCCTGCTCCCCCCCCCTCTCCTCCTCCTCCTCCTTCTCCTCCTCCTCCTCCTCCTCCTCCTCCTCCTCCTCCTCCTCTCCAGCGGGGGGGCAGGAAACGAGCGTGCGGCGGGGGCCTCTCTTTGGGCCGTCTTGGGGGCCTCGTGGGACGTCATGGGGGCATCTTGGATGCCTGTTGAGCGATCGTTGGGGGGGGCTCTTGGGCAGAGGTCAGTCAACTTCCTCAGCATTCCCGGGCCTCCCGACCCCAGGAGCGGAGCGACACGCTATACCTGCTTGTAGGGCACCTAGCTTGTCGCAGGGGCCGCCGCCGCGACTCGCTCAGCAAAAGCCCCGGGCCGCATAGGTCTACAGCGAGATGCTACCACAAGGAGCGCTGAAGGAGGAACGACGCCCCCTTTGGGCCGCAAAGGCGCCTGGGTGCACGAAGAGTGCTGCAGGAGCAATCATGGAAGTGCGGGACAAGGGAGAGACACCGGTTCAAGCCAGAAGAGAAATGAATGATTGTTCACGCCACGCAAGGCGTAACATGATTGAGACCTCCCCCATGTTCCCTTCTCTCTCCGGCCTCTTCTCTCGCATGTTTCATCGATCCATTCGTCACTGCATCATGTTGGCGCGAAGCCAGCACTCTCAGGAGAGGGGTGAACCAGCGCTCTGCTAGACGAAAAGATCGATTTCGACTTCAGCTGCCATCGCTTTGAGATTGTCATTCTGCCTTGGTGCGAAACGAACCCCCTGGCCAGGAAGCTGCACACTGGAGGGCTTCTCCAAACGGCTTAGGCGACCCGTTCTCCTCCTCCTCCTCCTCCTCCTCCTCCTCCTCCTCCTCCTCCTCCTCCTCTCCTCCTCTCTCCCCCTCCTCCCCTCCCTCCCCTCCTCTCTCCTCCTCCTCCTCCTCCTCCTCCTCCTCCCTCCTCCTCCTCCTCCTCCTCCTCCTCCTCCTCCTCCTCCTCCTCCTCCTCCTCCTCCTCCTCCTACTCCCTCCTCCTCCTCCTCCTCCCTCCCTCCCTCCTCCTCCTCCCTCCCTCCTCCTCCTCCTCCTCCTCCTCCTCCTCCTCCTCCTCATCTCATCATCATCATCATCATCATCATCAGCATCATCAGCATCATCAGCATCATCAGCATCATCAGCATCAGCATCATCATCATCATCATCATCATCATCATCATCATCATCATCATCAATCATCATCCTCCTCCTCCTCCTCCTCCTCCTCCTCCTCCCTCCTCCTCCTCCTCCTCCTCCTCCTCCTTTTCCTTTCCCTCCGTCTCCTTCTTCTCCTCCTCCTCCAATCTTGTGGCTCCGAATCCAAAGTGTTCCGCAGTTTGTCCAGGTCGCTGCCGTAGGCCCAGCGCCCGCGCCCCGGGGACCCCAAGGACCTGCCGTGCCCCTCGCCCGCCTCCGCCCCCTCGGGGCACCCCCGGGGGCCAAGATCTGGGCCTGGGCGCCCCGCCTCTGCACCCTTAGGGGGGCCACGTGCGAACCCTACCCCAACCCTGAAGTCGGGCGTGTCCCCCTACAGGGGCATTTTCGAGGAAGAATAAAAAACACCCCTAAAACATACTCCCACATGGTCAACAAAAATACTCAGAAATTATTTCCCAGACTATTTTTCGACTATGTTTGAATATTCCTCCTGTAGAGGGACGGGCCCGACTTAACCCCTACCCCCTACGATTTCTGAGGGGGAGGGCGAAGTGAACCCCACCCTCCCCCTCAGAAATCGTGGGGGGTATGGGGTAGGGTTCGCACGTGGCCCGAGCGCAGTGAGCCCCACCCTCCCCCTCAGAAGTCGTGGGGGGTAGGGGTAGGGTTCGCATGTGGCCCCCTGACCCTCCCCTCCGCCAGGACCTTGGGCGCACCGAAGAAGCTGTCCAGGGGTCGCTGCTTCACAGAGGACTTCGTCTTCCTGAGGCGTGCCAGGTAGTTTTCCACGCGCTCCTTGTTGAACGAGCACTGCTCCACGAGAAACTTCGCCAGGCCATCGTAGTCTGGCTCGTCCCACTTGAAGTCCACCTCCTGCGTGTTTACAGCCTCGCACTCCTGGAAGAACTGGCGCGCGTCCTGATACCGGAAGTTCTCAGGCACCTTCTCGGGGCCCAACTCCTCCAGTACCTTCTCCAGGGAGCCGTGCTGAATGAGCAGCCTGATGGCGGTGGAGGGCCCGACGCCCTTCAGCGTGTCGCAGTAGTCGCAGCCGCTGAGGATGCAGAAGTCGATGAACTGGCTCATGGAGATGTTGAGCTGCTCCAGGACGCGGTCGAGGTGCACCTCCATGATCTGCTTCTTCTGGGACTCCGCCGCCATCAGATTCCTGACGAGAATCTTGGTCCCGAAGGTCAGGCAGTCCGCGTCCTCGGTCGCCGCGGCGTAGACCTTGCCGTCCCGGCAGAGCGCGGCGCAGGTGGCCTCGGCCTCGCTGGGGGCCTCCACAACCGGCACGCCCATGAGCCGCAGGAGGGTCTTGGTCTCCTCGTTCTGCTCCTCCGAGGAGGGCGCGGACTGCACTCCGAGCCTGCACCCGTCCTGGCCAGGCCGCCCCCCCCCACGCCCGGTGCCCATTCTCGCTGCACGCGCCCTCCAGGCCCTGCCAGGACGGCACAGGCACCGACGGTGGGCCCAGGCCTGGCCAGGGTCCGAGCAGGTGCGCAGTCGGCGCCCTGCCTTCCTTGGTCACGCGCGTGGTCAGCTTGGTGCTCTTCTGGATCTGCTCCTCGTCGCCCTTCTCCTGCGCCTCCGCCAGGCTCTTCTCGGCCGCCTCCCTCTTGGCACGGCGCTGCGCGAGCTCGCCCAGCTTCAGCTCGGGCGGCTTGCCGTCGAACACGTAGACCGGCTTGATGCCATTCTCCATCAACTTCAGCGTGCGCGAGAGCATGCCGACAAGGTGCGAGGTGACCTTCCCCTCCTCATTGGTGAGGTTCTGGTAGCTCCCTGCGCGATTGTCGCGAATCATTATGAGGAACTGGTACAAGCACATGCTCGCGTCGATGGCCACGCTGCGGCCCGTGTACGCGGCCTGGCTGTCCACCTCTCTGATAGACTTCGGTGCGGCATCGTGCAGGAACTTCATCAGGCCCTTGATCCCCATCTCTGACTCTCGCACTGGAAGCTCCCCTGGACCAAGCCCTGCTCTTGCGCCAAAATGGCTTAAGTCGCTACGGAGGAAAGTGAAAATGGTCATGATGGAGGTGATGATGATGACGACGACGACGACGACGATGATGATGATGATGATGATGATGATGCTGATGCTGATGCTGATGATGGTGATGATGATGCTGCTAAGGATGGTGAGAATGATGAGGATGATGATGCTGATGCTGATGCGGATGCGGCTGTGGATGATAATAATAGTAATAATGATGGTGATGATGATGCTGCTGCTGATGTCGATGCTGCTGATGCTGATGCTGATGCTGCTGATGCTGCTACTGCTGCTGCTGCAGATTATGATGATGATGATGATGAGGAGGAGGAGGAGGAGGAGGAGGAAGAGGAGGAGGATAAGAAGGAGAAGGGTCAAAAGAAGCAGGAAGGTGTGCTGCAGCAGGGGTGAGGAGGCAGCAGAGGTGGCGGAGGCGTAGGAAGAGCAGCGGGTGGCGGAGGCGGGTGGCGGAGGCGGAGGCGGTGGCGGGTGGCGGAGGATGACGACGGTGAGGATGAGAAGGAGAAGGAGGAGGGCAGAGAGAGGAGGAGGACGAGGAGGAGGAGGAGGAGAAGGAGGAGGAGGAGGAGGAGGTGCTAAACTTCTGGACTGAGATGTGCCCCCCCCCCCTCCCTCCCCTGACGCCGACAAATTTCCCGACCCCAGCCCCTTTCTCAACCTGAAGCTTCAGGAGCAGGCTCAGCCGCCGCAGATCTTGGCCCTCAGTTGCGTCACCCTGATGATATCCGAGCTGTTGCCAGAAAGTTCAAGCCCTTCACCGCCATGGGGGCCGACATGCTCCACCCACGCGAGTTTGGAAACTTGTCTGATGGGGCTCTGGAATGTCTGGGACTTCTATGGTACTGGCAAGAGGTCGAGGGGCTCCTGAGCTCCTGCATCTCGTTGATCCTCGTGGCCCAGCTGTTGACACCTGAAGGAGGGTATCGGCCCATCGGGGTCATGACTAGAATGTCTCAGGTCTTCGGCAAGCTCAGCAGGTACGAGGCGGTGTCTTGGGAGACGTGTAACGCTCGGGACTACCACTACGGGGTCAAGGGGCGTTCGTGTGAGCAAGCTGTCTGGGAGCAGAGCCTGTCGGTCGAGTATGTGAATCCCCAAGGGGGCACCACGGGCATCATCCTCCTGGACCTCGCAGAAGGCCTACGAAAAAATGTGTCACTACCCCCTCATCCTCTCCGCGCTGAAGTGGAATTGCCCGCTCTATCGGTTGCGGCTTCTCCTGCTGCAATGCCGTGCCCACGAGTGCTCAATACTGTGGGTGTTCGCTCGGCAATTACGGCGGTCTTCCGGACTATCCGTGCAAGCTGTCCGTTTGCCACCACGTTGCTTCGGATGTTCCTCCTGGATCCTCTGGGTGATTTGATTGCGTCGTGGCAGTCGGTATTCCCGCTTCAATGTCGGCGATGCATGCCGGGGCCTGCCAGGATTGCTCAGTCGGGGCTGGGCAGCGCCACAGCTCATCTGTGCCAGAGCCTTGAGCAGCTGTGCCCGGTCATCTCGGAGTCCAAGGGGAAGGTGCTCTCCTCGTGCAAGTCGGTCGCCCAGGGGATCGCTGAACGGCTCGCTCGGTGGAAATTCGAAGCGAAGGAAGCGGCCAGAAATTTCGGTTGCGACTTCGGGATGAGCCCCAAAGGGCTCAAGGCCAAGACGGTCATCATCTCCAGGTTCGGTAGGATCGTCCAGGCTGTCTGAGTTCAGAAGCTTGAAGGGTTTCTTCCACGGCCTCATGAAGGTAGTCAAGGGAGGAGCACTACCAGCAAGGCTGTACGGAACGTGTGTCCCAGGCATGACCGACAGTCGCATCCAGCGTCTCAGGTCCGCGCTTGCTTTTTCTAGCTTTGGTACAGCTGAAGGCAAAAGTCGTACTCTTGAGTTCAGGTTATCCAGCCTGCCTCGGACCCAGAATACCAAGCCAACATCTTGCCGCTTGTCGCCTGGGGCCGTGCGGCCCGAGATGGATGGGCGGCTCACGCGACTATGCGTGCGTGTTTTTCGGCTGCTCAGTGTGCGCCGAGTTTTGCCTGGCCGGACGTTCGCGGACCCGCAGGTGATGATGTCCTCACACTGCGCCGTCTTGGTTGGGAGGCCCCCAGCTGGCACCAGTGGCTCACTAGAGGCAAGAAAGTGGTCAACGTCTTGGAGCTCGGAAAGCGGTCCCTCACCAAGCTCATCCAGGAGGACACGTTCACTTCCATGGGGCTTCGTGCGGGCAAGAAGGTATGGGGCGCGTCACCCCCTCCCGCTCCTAAAGACCCTCATCTCCATCGTCTCTGAGTTTCGCCGGAAGGCTGGAGGTCAGAGTGGACAGAAGGCCCGTTTGCTGGCGGGTTTGGTCGCAGGAGGCTTCCCCACTAAACACACCTTGTTCCTGGACAGGCGGGTCATCGATCCTAAATGCCAATGGTGCAAGAAGGATTACGGGACCCCGCCTCATCGTTTCTTCCGCTGTCCAGGTACTCCGGGAGTGCGTCAGCTTCTGGACGTTGGCCTGCTGAAGAGTCAAGGTAGTGTTCCCAGTGCTGATCCAGTCCTCTTCGGCAGGTGCCTTACCCGCTCACCAGAAGCAGGATGGCCCCTCGCCGTGCAGTCCCCAGGCATCAGGTGAGAAAAGCGCCCGCTCGACGGTGTTGTCCACAGGCGTATGTGCACCGACGGCTCGGCGATCGACCCTGACCTCCCCTTCACTCGTGCAGGACGGGCGGTGGTCGGCCTGGCAGGGGACATGTGCGCCATCACGGGGTCGTGCTACGGGCCCCTCCCCCACCCCATCCAGGAGTCGGGGTGCGGGATGTTCTACGCGTTGCTGATGGCCCTCCAGTTGGCAGGTTCAGGAAAAATCGCCATTGTTAGTGATTGCGAGATGGCGATCGATGGGTGGACTCGACCAGACTTTAGAGCGCCTGGCCTTCAGCGAGTTTTGGAAGCTCATCTTCAAGAAAGGCGAGGACACCGGCCGTTCCAACATCCTGCTTGTCAAGATCAAGTCCCATCTCTCCCTCCACCAAGCTCTCACCCATGAGCACCAAGCCTGGGCCTGGAAGGGGAACCGGGAAGCTGACAGGTTGGCCGCTTTGGGGGCCCGCTGTCACCCACACAACCCTCGTTGACTACCTACCAGACCACCCCAACCCAACCCGAAGACTCGAATTTGACCCGAATTTCGGGTTGGGGGGGGTACGGGTTCGATGTGTTTTTTCCATGTGTTTTCCCGCCCCCCCCCCTGGAAATGGAGGGCAAATTGAGGCCTTCGGGTTGGGTTGGGGTGGTCTGGTAGGTGGTGACTCGTGTCACAGGTCTATATGCCTCCCTCTGTGAGCAGGTACGCAGGTGCAGTCGTCCGTTCTGGCTGCTCTCTCGGAGGGGGATTTCCTGGACGTGGAGAAGGCGAAGGCCCCCCCGAGAGGCTCACACCGTCCTCCATATCCAATTGGTTGCCCATCCCAGCGGCCACGAGGTGCGTCGTTGTGGGAAGGGCAGCCGCCGGTTTTGTTGCGCCATCTGCGGGGATGGGAACGCCTCTCGGACGGGACCGTGCCTGGCGCCGTGCAGCGGCGTTCCCAGGTTGGCCAGGCTCGCCCACAGCTCTCACGGGCTGTTGGTTGGCGTCGGCGGCATTGTCTGGCGCAGATTGTGCGGGGCCTTCGGCACCTCACGCTCTGTGCGCCTCCTCGGTGAATGCCACAAAAAGGACCCAGGAGCAAAGGTGCAGGTCATTCTCTGGCGATTGTAAAGAAGGGGGTGGACCCCTCCTCCAGGCAATCGTTTGGACGGAGTTGGCCAGTCCCGCCGAGGCCGCCCTAGCTTGGTCTAAGTTTCCCTCCAGGCGGGCCGGCCCTTTGACCATCCTCTCATCGCCTCTCTTCTCTCTCGCTCTTCAGCGCGTAGTGCGGCCTCCGGGAGCTGGACTGCTGCGCAAGAGGATCACAGGATCACAGGAGGAGGAGGAGGAGGAGGAGGAGGAGGAGGAGGAGGAGGAGGAGGAGGAGAGGGAGGACGAGGAGGAGGAGGAGGATTACGTTGGAGTAGGGTGCGCGAGTCGACCGTCGCGAGCGTATTGACCACCAGAGCTAAGATGTAAGCGTATCGTCAGTGGTCAGTTGGGCTGCGAGATAAACCCGAGAAGAAGTATCAAACAACACAGGGGGTCCAAGGCCGAGGAGGCTTGGTGTGAACCGCACAAGCCCTGGGAAGCAGCCCACGCGTTGCCGCCCTTTGTTTTTCTCAGGTCGGTTCTGATCGCTCCGAGATCGCACTTAGAGCACGTGCAAGTTAGCGCTGCAGCTGAGCATCGTGTTATAGGCTCAGGAGCTTACCCTCGGTGAGGGTCCTTGTATATTGGGCGGTGGATAGTGGTTTTGATGCGAGGAGGGTGGCTCGGGTCCTTGACGCTGTGCTTACTCTGGATCGTTGATCTCCGTATATCATTTCTCTCACCTGTTCCACGTTCTTTTCAACACTACTGCCGCACTTCACTGTTGTTTCTCTCTCGCACTCGTCCTCTTGGGATTGTTTTCGCGCCCATATAAGAGTTCAAGCAGTTGACAAACGCAACAGCCTCGAGCTAAGGTATGGCCAGCGTCATAAAAAGGAGGAAGTGGAGGACTAAAACGAGGAGGACGAGGAGCAGGACGACGGTGAGGACAAGGAGGAAACTGGCAGGAGGAGGCAGAAAGGGAGAGAGGAGAGGGATAGAGAGAGAGGTAGAGAAAGAGAGAAAGAGAGAACGAGAGAGAGAGAGAGAAAGAGAGCGAACGAGCAAGGCAAGAGAGAGAGAGAACAAACAAACAAAAAAAAAAGGAAACGATGGGGGGGGCAACCGGGCGAGACGGGAGGAGGAGACGCGACCAGCGGCGGAGGTCGACGACGACCACGACGAGCACCGGGGCGGGCCTCCTGCCCACCCGCCCTCGTGCGCCGCCCCGCTCCGCCCCTCCCCCTGCGCCTCTCATGCGCTCCTGTGCGAGAGAGAGAGAGAGAAAAACAAAAAGAGAGAGAGAGAGAGAGAGAGAGAAAAAAAAGAGAGAGAGAGAGAGGAAAACAAAAAGAGAGAGACGACATTCGCCCAGAGAGCCTGCCCAACACATCCCAACAGAACACGCGCTCCCCTTCGCAGCCTCCATGGGGGATCACACATCGATGCATGTCCGCCTCCAGCCTCGTCCCTCCCCTACCCGCCGACTGACTGCTTTCCCGCTCTCCTGGGCTGGGAGGGGGGGGAGGAGGAACGAGGTGGATCTGCGTAGGCGTCTTCCTGCGATTCGTGGCCATCGTGACGGGTTCCGCCTCGTCCTCTTCCTCCCTTGGGAACATCTTCGAACGCTGTCACGGGCGTGCGAGTCCGAGGCTGGCATTGGCATTCCTCCTCCTCCTCCTCTCCCGTCCTCCTCCTCCCCTCCTCTTCCGTGCCTCCCCGTCCAGACTCCCTTCTCCTGCTCGCGCGCCCCTCCTGTTTCTTCTCCCCCTCACCCTTGTTCTCCTTCTCCTGATCCTCCCCCCTGCACCTCCTGCCCCTTTTGAATATTGCCTCCTGCCTCTTGCCTCATCCTCCCCCCTCCTTCTCCTCCTGGGGCTCTCCACGTACCCTGCGTGGATGATTGGGACCCAATGGATTACACTCCGTATCAAGCGCGACAGATCAAAAGGATGAGGCAGACAAGGGCTATCCACGAGCCAGTACTGGTGTCGCGCCGTGCCTCTGTAGCGAGATGTCAATGCTCGTGCAAGCAGCGGACGCGCACGTGCTGGGAGAGGTTGCTTCTGCTTCGCGCGTTGGCTGTAACGCTTCCTGCACGAACGCCCCAGGTGGGACCTCACAGACACCGGGTGACCACGCTCTCCCAGGGCCGTGGCCAGAGACCCGCCTAGAGCCACGCCCTGGAGACTGGCGTGAACTCTTCGCCGGGCCAGCACGTCCCGCCCCCTACGGTTTATACACGTTGGTGTTTCTGCCGGCACGTGATCACGCAGCGATCTGCTGCTCCATTTGCTTGTGCTTCTCCTTCTCCTTCTCCTTCTCCGCCCGCTCCTCCTTCTTCTCCTCCTCCTCATCCTCCTCCTCCTCCTTCTCCTCCGTGCTCACCTCCTCCTTCTCCACCCGCTCCTCGCCGTGGCCCTGCACAGGGCAGGCCGCGCTGGCACGGCGAGGAGCCGTGCGCGATCGGTGCGGGGGCCCCCCTCTGGAGGGCGGGGGCCGGTGGGAGCCAGGGGCGGGTCGGCTCTGCAAAAACCCACCTCGCCCTCGAACGACGCGGCGTGCCAGAATACTCCAGATCTCGTAACAAAGGGAGGGGGGTCTCATTTCGGGGGGGGTCTCTTCCAGGCTATTTTGGAGGGCCTGGGGGGTCTGGGGTCGATGTTTTGGAGGGTTCTCCCACGGGGGAGGTCTGAAATGGCTTGTCTTGGAGGGTCCAGACCCCCTCCCCTTTATTACGAGATCTGGAGTACCTGCTGGTTGTATGGTCAGGCCTCTGTAATTTTTCAGGGGCGCCCCCCCATTCCCCTGGGTGCCAAGACGGCGCCCAGACGGCCAAATACCGCCCCAAGGTGGACGCAACGTCTGCACCAAGTCTAACCCCTCGATGGCCCAAAGATCCCCCCTGAGGCTCCAAGGTGTCCTCTAGATGTCCCTGAGAGGCCACGGGATGTTTCCAATAGGTGCCCCAAGCGCTCTCCAGCAGCCCTCTCAGAAACCACCCATAGTAACACATGATAGCGTGCTTTGTGCTTGTGTCTCCAAAGCTTACGGGCCCAAATGGGTCCATGAAGCCCTCACAAGCCACAGGATGGCCCTTGAGGCCCCCAAGAGGGTCCGAGACGGCCCCAGGAAGACCCCAATAATGCCAAAGCACTGCCCATGACAACCGAAGGCCGCCCCAAAAAGGCCCCCAAACAAGCCGCCAAGAAGCCTCTGATAAGCCCCCAGTAGGCAACGCCCAAGCCGCGCACCGTTCCGACATCGCCTCGCTGGAGCATCGTAATACTGTGTCCACGACATCCCCAGGTTGGTTCGACAGAGCCTTTCGGGAGAGCTACGTCGAACCATTCGCGTCCGAGACGGCCCAATATCGTCCTGGGGGTCGCCGTCACCCCGCATGATCATGACCCTACCGAGACATCTCGAGAGAAATCTACAAGAACATCCTGCATACATTTCGGTGCTGAGCTGTCACGGTGGCGGCGATGGCCATAGGTCCCTAGATCCGACACCGTGCCCCCTGGTACGTTGAGGCGTGGTAGAAGTGCTGTTTGGCATAGTTCTGTAAACTTCTAGCGGGCCCCCCTCTCCACCCACGCTTCGTCGCACGTGCCGTTCCCCCTTCCCGAGGTCACGATCTCTCGTAAATGAGTTCCGCGCTCGCGAGGCAACGATTCCTCGTAAACGGCAATGGGTCCGCATTCCCGAGCTTCCAAGACGGCCGACGCAGGACACGAAACCCGCCAAGATGGACCACAATGATGGACCACTATGCCTCTTAGACGGCCCAAGATGGCCCCAGGGCGGCCCAAGATTGCCTAAAAACAGGCCCCGAGAGGCCCCCAAAACGACCCAAGAGGGCCACAAGAGGATCCCCAGTAGGCCCCGAAGAGGCCCAAACCATGCACAGTCAAAACGTGGATTCAGGACGTGTGGCAAGGACGCAAGACCCTTGGAGGCGGCGGGCGACCATTGAATCACCGGGGAGGACGGGCCGCAGAGGCAAGGGCACAAGGGTACTCCACATTTCGTAATAAAAGGGAGGGGGTCTGGACCCTCCAAGACAAGCCATGTCAGACCTCCCCCGTGGGAGAACCCTCCAAAACATCGTCCCCAGACCCCCCAGGCCCTCCCAGATAGCCTGGAAGAGACCCCCCCCCCGAAATGAGACCCCCCTCCCTTTGTTACGAAATCTGGAGTACCCCAGACGAAGACGCGCGTCCTCACTGGGCGCGCTGACAGTCTCCCCTGAAGTTGTTTTTCTAACACAAGTGGGGGAGTCCTTGCTCGGGCCTTCTGTAGATCCAGACGGCTCCAGTGGCCTTCGAGACGGCCCCATGGCAGCCCCAAGGGAGGCCCCCCCCCGCCTGGCGTCGTGATCCTCCGGGGCGGCCTCAAGACAGAGGGTTTCTCCGAAGGGCTTAAGCGACCCGTCCTCCTCCTCCTCCTCCTCCTCCTCCTCCTCCTGCTCCTCCTCCTCCCCCTCCTCCTCCTCCTCCTTCTCCTCCACCTCCTCCTCCCCCCACGGCCTCAGACGGCCCCGAAGGAACCCCCAGCTGGCCCAGTACAGGCCCTCTCCGGAAGAGGGTCCAGGGCGGCCTCAGAGGGCCCCTCGACGGCCCCAAGATGGCCCCGCAACGGCCTCCTGGATAGCCACGGCGGCCCAAGAGAGACCCAAGAAAGCCAAAGGGGGGCCCCAAGGGACCTCCAAGACTGCCCCACAGGAGCCCAAGACACCCCCAAGACGGCTCAACTGAGTTTCATTGGAGTTTCTCAAGGAGTGAAGGCGAAAAGGGGCAGGAGGAGGTGGAGGAGAAGGAGGAGGAGGAGGAGGAGGAGGAGGGGGAGGAGGAGGAGCAGGAGGAGGAGGAGGAGGAGGAGGGAGGAGGAGGAGGACGGGTCGCTTAAGCCCTTCGGAGAAACCCTCCAGGTACATGCGACGGCTTCATGTGCTCGAAATGTTTGCAGCCCAGCGGGCTGAGCTGGCACGGTGGCGGGACAGGCCGCAGGCGCCTTCGCACCATCATCTGGTCTCCCGCCAGTCGCTGTCGGGATCCATCTAGCCTGTCTGACGGAGAACCGACTACGAGGCAAACCGCGGCTCTGCGTTGTCCTAGCCTGCCTTATCGAGCGCCTGCTGCGTGGCAGCTCGCGGTTCTGCGCTGTCAGTGCCAAGTAGCACACGGGCAGCTCTGTAAACTTTGAAAGGGTCGGTGAGCTTTTGAGAAAGCCTTTTGTTATTGTGGTGAGAGGGGCAAACCCCAGAGTTGAAATCAAGCCTGCCCAGCGTTGGGCAATGGACAACGGCTACCATTTGTGATGGCCCCTTGCCTGGTCTTCCTGAGAGCCCACTGCATCGATCCCAAGCCTCTGCGGAGGTGCCACGAACCATCTATAAATCTGTCGATGATGAGTTGTGCTCAATGACTTTTGCGGAGGGGCAAGGGAGACGGGCAACAGTAGCGGCGGGACGAGGTGGCTGAGAAGAAAACTGCTGCCAGTGAGCGCAACGCGCCTCGCCGCCAGAAAAACACGCAATGGGACCGGCTGGACGGCGGCCGGTGGGCGCAAGCATTGGCGGCGGAGTCCCCGCGAGCGCGCGTGCCCCCGTGCATTGAAAAATACGGAAAGCGGGAGGGGGGGACAGAGAAACGCAAGATGCGGGAGCGACCATGCTGTGAGATAGACGGGTGACGGGTGGTATCGCGCCACGAAAAACCTTCCGTCAGCAGCGCCATTCAAACGCCGCGCCCAGCTGTAAGCGGTTATGCACCGCCCAACGCCCCAGGGAGGCCCCTGGCACCCAGAGGGAAACAGCTCTCTGCGTCGTGGCGGGAGCCGGCACTGCGGCCGTGCTTCGACACACACGCACACTGCTCCCACCTCATGCGGACGGGCTCCCCAGCTTCTCTGGCCGCTGCTCGGGCAGCAGGTCCTTCCCGAGCCGCACCAGGCCTTGCGACAGCAACTTCGCGGCCACGCGGCCACCCGTGCGCAGCAGGCCACCGCGGTACTCCCAGACCCTCTGCAGCACCTTGGTAGCCACTCGGATCTGCTCCGCAGTCTGGAGGCCGCGGAAGGACTCCAGCAGGGCCTCTGTGCGCGGCCGGGCCATCTCTGCGATCTTGCTGGCGGCCGTCAAGGTCTTCGCATCGGCCTCGTCGGGAGCGATCACGCTCCACCGCGTCCCGCCGGGCGGCGCGAACCCCAGCGACGCCAGAGTGTTGCGCGCGCCCGCGCCCAGAACCTTCGCCAACTCATCGACTACGATGCGCTGCAACGGCGTGGGTGGGGCCCCCACTGAAGCGTCGTCTCCGTCGTCGACCAGGAGCTCCGCAAGCTGGACCACAAGCTTGTCGGCCTCCTCGTCGGGAGTCGCGGACTTGAGGAGGCCCACGGTCGCTGTTCTGTAATTCGAAAACCCAGACGTCAGATTCTCCACCTTATCGATGCTGACTGTCCGGTCAGGAAGGTTTTTATTGCTACCGTAGACGAACCTCTCTAGAGCGCTGGCGATACGTGGCGAGCGGTCGCTCAGCAGACGTTTTGCGACGTACGGCATGCACTCCGAAACGATCGAATAAGCCTTGTTGTTCTGCAAGCCGATGCCCTCCAGCACCACGAATGCCCTTGCGATGTAAAAGAAATAAGGAGGAACGCGGAAGATGCTGCCATACTGCCCCCCAAGCTCCTGCAGCTTGTTCACGAAGTACGTGATATCGATGCTGGCGGCGCCGCCGCCATCAGTCCACTTGCTGTAGACATCGGAGAGGACGTCGACAACTTCGCTCTCAGCGATCTCCTGCTCTTTGCCCTCGGGCACGAAACCAAGCTTCGTGAGCTCGTTCGGGAGTTCCTCGTATTCTCGGGACACAAGGTTTGCCACGTGCTCGATCATCGTCACTTGTATCTCCTTGTCTACGCGCGTGATGAGACCCCAATCGAGAATGCAAAGGCGTCCGTCAGGCGTCCTGAGCAGGTTTCCCGGATGAGGATCCGCATGCAATATGTTCACCTCTAGTAACATCGTAAGGTATGTGCTCATTGCCACCGAACACAATGTCGTCACATCCTCCGACGTGCTCTGTTCCAACCGGGTGCCCTCCACCCACTCGGTTGTCAACACCTTGCCTGATGTGCACTCGGCTACGACTTCCGGCACGCACACTGCGGCTCCGAGTGGGGTGCGCGCGATCGCCTCCGCGAACTCGGCGGCGTTGGCCGCCTCACGCCTGTAGTCCAGCTCGCCCACGAAACCCTCACCCCACGCGTCGATCAGGCCGACAAGGTCCTGATTGAAGGGGCCCAGAAGGCTGAGGAACTCTTTCGCCGGCCCGGCCCCAAGCCGAAGTAGGTACAGATCCAAAGCGATGAGCTCGTCCATGCCAGGCCTCTGCACTTTGACGGCCACCTCCGGCCCATCCACGAGGCGTGCCCTGTAGACTTGACCCAGGGATGCCGAGGCAATGGGCTTCTTCGAGATCTCCTCGAACAGCTCGCCCACGGGCCTCCCGAGCTCGGATTCGATGATGGCGTCGGCCACCTCGGTGGGAACGGGTGGCACGCTGTCCTGGAGTTCTGTCAGAGCCCTCAGGTAGGTGATCGGAAGCAAATCTCCTCGGATGGACAGCGCCTGCCCGATCTTGACAAACGTGGGGCCCAACCGAACCATCAAGTCCGTCAGCTCCTTCAGAAGAAAACAGAACTGCATAAACATCCGATCTGCGCCGAACCCCCCAGCGCGGATTTCCGGAGCGCGCCAAGGGTGGCGCCGGAAGCGCCGCCGGTGGGGCCCGGGCGCTGATCCACGAAACCAGAGCGGAGCTCAAAAAACTTATGTTTATGCCGTTGTTTCTTCTTCGATCCTTGGCCCGCCTCGGGGAGTTCTCCTCGGTGCTCCCGGTGAGGCTGTCCAGCAGCAGGCCAGAGCCGAAGCCCAGACCCGCGGCCGCGAACTCCGCGGCGCGCCCCGCGACGCTCGCGGGCCTGGCGGCGTAGTACGCGGCCGAGCTCTCGGGGTCGTACACGCCCTTCGGGAACGGCTGGGCCCGCCGTGCAGTGGCCCTGGAGGAATTGATAATTTTGAATATCTTGCACATCCGCGTTCTAGAGCTCAGCCCTTGCTTTTCGTCGTCGTTGGTTCGGTCGCTCGCCGCCCCCCCTGGGCTCCCGTGCTCCTGCCTCTGCATGATGGTTGTGATGGCCCCAGGAGGACACTGGGATGGCCCTAAGAACTTCCCCCTCGTTCCTCCCCCCGCCTGGCCTGGCCCTCGCCTTCCCTGGTGCAACAGCCACGGCATGCGTGCCGCTTCTATTTTCCCGCGTCCAACATGTTTGTTTTTGTATTCCTTTGTGCTCCCCCACGCAGGATCTCCTCCTCCTCATCCTTTTCCGCCTCCTCTTCCTTTTCCTCTTGCTCGTCCTCCCTTATTTTCGTTCACTCTCACACTCACGCACTTACGTACTCATTCATCACCATCATCAGCACTCGCTCACTCACTCACTCACTCACTTCCTTACCCACTCACCAAATCATCATCACCCCATCACTCGCATTCACTTACCACCATCATCAGTGCCATCATGTGTCGTTACAACCATCACCACCAACACTATCGCACCAACAATTTCACTCCATTGTACCAACTGTCATTATATATGTCATCATCGCCGTCGCACGCACAAACACTCATCTTACGGAGGACTCGGGCGGGAGTTTCGTCTGTGAATGAATCGTGAGGAAGTCTCCAGCCAGAGCCCCCCCGATGGGGTCCGCACTTCATGTTGGCAACCCGAACGGGTCATCGCATTCACTAGCTGTCGCCACTTTTGGGAGTAAAGCCCATGTATGGGGGCAGTCTCGAGCGGAAGCCTCGTCGATGACTGGATTGCGATGGAATCTCGACCAGGAACCCTCTCCCTAAGGAGTCCGAACTTCTTGTTGGCAATTCGAACGGGCCATCGCAGTTGTGAAATTCTCGTCACGTTTGGGTTCCACAGGCCTGGAAGATGTCTCGAACGGGATCCCCGTCTGTGAGCGAATCGCGAAGGTCGATTGGGAAAACCTTCCTTATGGGGCCCGGACCTTTTGTTCAACGCGATTCACGGCGATCCCGACTATGGCTGGCGCCTCCTGAACGGCCCGAACATGCGCAAGACGGGGGACATCCACGGCGTCTTACTGGCACGCGTCGGCATGAAGGTTCGGTTTACGGCCGCGACTGAAGGGCTGGGGACGACGTTGGGGCCCGTGCAAGAGCAACGGGACACCATCGTGTTCTTCGGGTTCCACCTACACGACGGGCGGGAGCACGAGGAGGACGCGCCAGGCCAGTTCTTTCGCCCCCGCTACATGCCGCAGGGAATCTGGGCACAAGTGCAAGGCTCATGGAATCCTCGGTCTATCAGGAAGTCGCCGAGTTGCTACAGGGCGCCGCAGGCACTGACGACGACAACGGCGATGCCGAGGCACGGGCGAGGAGCCTGCTCATGTTCAGGCCCAGCGAGCAGGAGCACACGTGGCAGAGCTCAGGATCGCACGCCGCGCGCCGCCTGGGGCTCCCCATGACGCGCGCATCATGACGGACCTCCACGCCGTCGCAGATTCAGGCGCTGCGCAGTGGCGTTGCCACCGACTGCACCAAAGATACGGACGCTGGCGGCACGGGCACGTCGGACAAACGCTGGCGGCTGCACCTCTACGTCATGTTTTCCCGCGCCACGCGCATGCGGAACATGCTGATGCTGCGGCCGCCCGCGCGAAAGTTCCCGGCGCGCGGGCCACCGACGCCCGGGCGGGAGGTGTTCGGGAAGTTTGACAAGAGAGCGGAGAACTCCAGTGCTAAGGCGGAGCAGCTCGCGGCAGAGCCACGCTTCGCGCTGCCTCCCGCCTGAGCGCGGCCGCGACTAGCTCGCGGCCTGGGAGGTTGTCCCAACGGCTTGCTACCGCGCAGCAGCGGCCCGCGGGGTTGCCCCAACAGCCTGGCCCGCAGGGTTGCCCCAACGGCTTCGCGATCCGGCCATGTGAAAAAGCGCCCCCTGCCGGGCGCGGGGCGGCAACGGCGCAAAAGAAAACCGACTTGCGCGCCCCGGCCAAGGAAGTAGGGCGCATGGGGAGAAGAGGCGGGGCGTGGATAAAGAGGGGGAGAGAGAGAGAGAGAGAGAGAGAGAGAGAGAGAGAGAACAAAAAAAACAAAATAGAGAGAGAGAGAGAAGGAGAGAGAGAGAGAGAGAGAGAGAGAGAGAGAGAGAGAAGGACAGAGAGAGAACCCCCCCCCCCCAACAAAAAAAAAAACATACATACATACATGCATACACTCATTTAAAACAACGTAAAAGGAGCCCCCTCGGCCGCTAGGGGCTCCGCAATCGCCGCGCCCAGGGCCAGCGGAGGGGGGCCAAGGCCCCTGAGCTCCTTCAGCGCGTCCTCCGCCGCCGCCGTAGCCTCGCGAGCTGTTTGGCCATCCGAGCCCTGGCCCTTCTTCGCCGGCCCCTTCGGCGCGCCGATCTTCATCCTCGGGGAGCTGGCGTGCTCTGCGAGGTCGCTCGACTCCATCGCATTCGCGACTCCGCTCGCCTCGTCGATGAGGATAGTTCGACTGGCAATCCCCCATGGCGCCGTTTAGCGCTGCGTCAGCTGCGCCACTTGCATGTTCGGAGAGGGAGAAGGAATACCTTCAAGCCCGCCTCCTTGGCGTTGAGATTGCACTCCTTCTGCTCTGACCGCTTCCTGCCGCCTCGCCTCGCTCGCGGCTTAATGCCTGGGCCCTCTTGCCCTGCTCCTCCACGTTGGCCCTTGCCCCGCTCGTGCCCTCCAGGATCTTGCACTCAATGTTGTTTTCGCCTTTGGAGTCCCCCCCGCCAGTCTGCGACGCCGCTGAGGAGCCCCCCCCCCGCGAGGGGCGCCATCTGCCCGCCTTTTCCGCATCCATCGGCTCGAAGGTTAGCCGGGCATTCCCGAGGGGCGAAGAGACTGGCCGCTGCGCGAATCTCACTTCCACGAAGGCGGTGATCAGCAGCTGGCGAAGCAGGTCGCGGAGCACGGGGCCGCGGCACTGGCGGGGTGGGACGAGGCTGCACGACCGTCATCGATCTTTCCTCCTTGGGCGGCAGGTGAGAGCACGAGCGGCTGCGGAGGTACTCGCGCGCTCCAAACGTCCTCTGGTACAGCGCGCACGCGCGCGTGTCGGACTCGACGTGCATGCGCGGGTGCGCCGTGTTGTGCTTGATACACCTCCCAGCGTGCCGCGGCGTCGCTAGGTGCCTGACTGCCCCCCCCCCCCCCTGTTCTGCAATGCTGTGCTGCAGTTGACGCGCGCGCTGCTCGGCGTGATGATGTTGGAAAGGCAATGTTCCCGGTGCCAGGTAGCATGGACTGGCGCAGATGTGCGGCGAGTGCTGCGCGCGTGGAAGCTCTGCCCGCGCGCTGGTCCATCCCCCGCCCTGATCGCACATGCGAAGATGTCGGCATCTCCCCCCCCCCCCCCCAGGTCGCGCCATCACCCTGGGCGGCAGGCGCAGTCTATGCCAGGTTAGTCGACGGCGCCAATTGGGTCGCAGCAAAGGCGCCGCGCAGGCACCGCGGGTCGAACGAGGCGATGAGGTGATTGACCTCCTCGTCCCACAGCAAATCCAGCATCGTGCCAGACCTCCAAACCTCGACGATTGATTCCGCTTCTGGGGAGCTACACATCCCCTCGATGTCTCGTCGAAGCTGGCGCGCCCAGGGGTGCGTCTGCGAATTTGCATTCGTGATGCCGTTATCCTGCGGCGCGGGCGGGCAGCGGCATTCGCTCGTCGCCCCCCGCTGCATGTCGCCGAAGAAGATGGAAGTCAGATGGCCAAGGTTGTGAGGCGCTCGTGCTCTCAGTCGCTGCACCGTGGCCCCCGCTGAAAGGGGGCCAAGTTCCAGCCCCGATAAGCCTCGCGCGTGGCAAGCGCCTTCGCGTGGCTATCTCCAATCGTAGCTGCGCCATCCATCACCGATCTTAGTTTACACGCCAGTGCGCCACGCAACTGCTCGGTCTCGGCGTCCGCCCAGCAGAACGCAACCGCGCCAGACAAGGCCGCTCCACTGACCAGAGAGATGAGCATGGGCCTCTTGACGCGAGAAGGAGCGGCCGGGCATCAGAAGCCCAGGACCATCATCCACCCCTTCGTGATCGCCGCCAACAGCTCAGTTAGCTCGTTCGCCTTGCTGCCCACCGCGTTGAATCAAGCTCCTATGTGCTTCAGCGCGAAAACAAGGCGACAGCCACTCTTCGCAAGCACGGTAATCGCACGGGGGGTTAGCTGCCGCTGGGGGGAGGCAGGCGCCGCGTCCTGCCTGGAGCGGTTCTGTCCATAGGCTCGTGCAGCGGGGGGCTGATCGAGCCCCCAGTCGCTGCGCTTCGAGAGGGGCGCTGCTTCCGCTGCCGCCCCGGGGGCTTGCAAATGCTGCGTCTTGAAGATGTCGCCCGTGAAGCACCCCGAGCTTGATCATCATGGCGTTGCCGGTGCAGGCATTTTCCACCGCTGACCCAAGAAGTTCCTGGTTCCGACGTGTCACCCATGAATCCTCCAGAGCCGCTGCGAAGCGCAACCTCGCCATCAGCAGCTGGGGCGGTGACCGTGAGAGCCTCTCGCCTTTGCCGTGAGGTAGCCGAGAGGCAGACCAGGCCAGCGCCGCCCATCTCCTCGCCCCCCTGCAGTCTGGCCCGCGCCGAATGCTCCAGGCCCACCCTGCGCCCGCAACCGAAGGAGTTGGTCGCGTCGTAGCTCTTGCGCAGCATGTGCTGCCCTGATTGGTGCCCATGCCATGCCACAGTGCGCGCTGCCATCGTCGGGTGCCCTCGTCGACGGCCCCGAGCGGCGCGCGCCCAGGCAGGCGCTCTGAAGGGCCCTCCTCGGAGAAGTCCCCCTCGAACGACTGCGCGCCAAAAGGGGGCGGCGCTTGGGCCAGCCGCCGACCCGCAGCCCCTGTCTTGCGATTGCGCTATCTGGGGCAAGCCCGCACGACAACGACGCCTGCGCAGGGAGGGGGCCAGCTCGCCGTGCACGTCGTACCAAGCGATAGTCGGTGCCTTGCTTCCCCTAGTGCTTCGAGGCGCCGCAATTGTAA